ACTCTTGATTTTAGGAGTCCTAGACATAACTTCCTGTAAATTGTATTGTAACAATGTTCCATAATCCATATACATGTATTTTCTAAGTTAACAAATATTATGTTTTCAGGTAAATATAAGATATTATTAATTAACTTTTCAATATAAGGCACGTTTTCACTTCATACGTAAGGCTAATATAAAGTTCAGCACGGCAATATGAACATAAAACGAGGTCATTGTGCAAAAAAGGATGGCCTTAATGAAAAAAAAACTCGGCTATTATGAGATTTGAGAATTTTGATTGGCTCCCCAGCTCGGCCATTATGAATCTGCTTTTTTTTTTCATTGAAAAAAAGTCGCAAATTGCTGGAGACATTTTTAAAACATGAATCTCATTTGCAATACCTCACAACAACGGAATTTTACAGTAGTTATTTTTTGTTCACTAAGTAATAAACTTTTTTAGATTATGTCTAGTTAATTAATAAAATTTTCAATAATTAAGTGTTTTCATAATGGCCATGTTTTTGGGCTTTAGACTTCGGCCTCAGGCTAATATGACAGACTTCAGCCCAATAACAAAGCCATGATGAAAATACTTAATTATTAACATTATAATAATATTAAATGCAAGACTGATGACCATAATATAGCATACATTGAACCAGAGATGGTTAGAGATCTTATATGCTTTAAATCCATTATTAAAACATTACTAAACACATGTTTGAGATTTCAAGAGAAATGAAAAAAAAATATGTGCCTTTGAACAAATTTCTCTCAAATACGAATGTGTACGGTAAAGTCTAGATGGACAACGGGATTGAGTTTCTGGGGAATCTGGCAGATTTTACTATTTTGATTGGCAATGGTTGGCGAATTCATTTACAGTAAGTTACAGCCAAGATTTTACAAAGTAAACATAATAAAAAACTGTAATTGGTTTCCAAGTATTTTCTATTTATATTATTTGGACAGTTCATGGACACTCGTAAATAATTTATGCTAACGAAAACTAAATTTGGGATCTTACAACTTCTGTTTTCACAGTTCTCAAAAAAACAAAACTAAAAGTATTATCAATGTAGTCGTTAAGTAAAAGACAAATAAAACTGAAATAGGTACTCTTCCAAAATGATTTTAATTATAAAATATCCAGCAATATGATATTCAGATCCTGATCCTGACGTCAAACCGACTTTTGAAAGCTTGATCAGATAAACAAGAATTAGATTGGCAAGAATCTGTATCTCGTAGATGTGTAAACTACTAATTATTAATAAACACAGTTTCGAGATATTAACAGACGGAAAGATTACATAAATTATAAATAACCTGCACTGCAGAATATGGACTCGCCCAGCTTCCATTTCGGAGAGTCCATTGTCAGTTTTAGGTACAATGTATATCAAAATGAAAATTTGAAGTAGGTCAAAGGTTTGAGCCTGGTCAACGGATGTGCAGACTTGCCTAGCTCTATACTGGCGATAAATGCTGATCACTTATTGCTCTAGCAGGTGTAAATCTGTCTTACGAGTATAACACTCGAGAATGAAAAGTCAAGATTGTAAAGTATAGGTGTCATATTAATTATATGAGAGAGTTTAAACTAGTACCTTGTCGCCATTGGTTCATTTAGTTCTTATTCTATTTAATTCTAGCATTAATCCCGACATATTTCAATTGAAACACAAAGAATATAACATAAATCTTCAATCTAAAATGCACAAATACGGAAATCCTAAGTTCGTACATGAACAAGATCCTAATACTTAAATGATTTAGTATACATCAACAATTTCTGTACCTTTTTCAGAAGAAAAAAATACACATATATGAGTTCAAACTTCCAACATTGCTGAATTAAACAAAAAATCACTTCCACAAACTGCATATATAAAATATCTATGTAAAATGACGAATAAACAAACACACGAAAAACAACCCTAAGTTGAGTTCACTTAAATGATTTGCCTGCCCTTAGTTCGCATTGATAATTATGCCCTGTACTTAATATGCCTCAAATATTCCAAGAATCTTATAGAATCAAAGCATGATCCAAATATTTGATTTAAAAAAAAACTTATAGCGATGGGTTTCACATTTAATATATTCACATAACTTAAATTTCGATGCAAATTTCATAAAAAATAAAACAGAGTCGATCTAAACATGTCGTTTTAAAGAGCAGTCTTACAGATCCTATCTCAAGTGATAAATTTATGTGTGTTTCTAGGCATAATCTCCGCATTTTAAAAGCATTTTGACTGAACAAACAAGATAATCATGCATATCTGTCTGTCAAATCCGAAATGCATTCTGTTGGAATCTTATCTGAAAATTACATATCAATGTTTATGTAATTACTAGATTTTTTTCCTTTTTTTTGTAAAAAAAAATCGGGCTACGTTAGGGCACAGCTGTTTTGCAACAACCGTGTAGATAGTACAGTCGGAAGGACATCATCTTCGTCATGGAAGCACATTACTTTTCAAGCACCGGACTCGCATAATTTATCGATAAATATAAATTTTCTGGAACAGCAATCTGTGACAAGAAACGACTACGAAAAATATCCAAAAAATCCTACCTTACTATTGTTTTATTTATTTCCAAAAATACTATATGGTATTTCCATCAGTGACCGTGTCTGTAGAATCACTTTACAAGAAAAAAACACAAGGATCATTTTGGAATCGTTGAAAATTTGCTTACACGAGATTTCCAGAATAAAATATCAGGATTCCTTTAGGCAGCCGTAATGCTGGTACGATCGATACCGCCAATATTGGTATCGTCGATTATGCTTTGAAGGGGTGTCCGTTGAGTGTTTTTCCGATTCGCCTGTCAATATTTGCTTATGAATAAATAACAAATAAAACTCGATTTTATATGGTATGTAATGATATCTATAAACGATATTCGTTAGCAGCCATTTATACAGAAAATAGAGGCTCGCAGAACTAGGTAGTTGATGTACACAACTAGGGTTGTTTTTTTTTGGTGGGAAAAGGAAGGAGAACGCTCGTGACGAACACTGTTCGCAGACGTCATATAATATTTGAGCCGTGTCACGACAAAACCAACATAATGGGTTTGCGACCAGCATGGATCCAGACTAGCCTGCGCATCCGCGCAGTCTGATCAGGATCCATGCTGTTCGCTTACAAACTCTATAACAAGTAGAGAAACTGATAGCGAACAGCATGGATCCTGATCAGACTGCGCGGATGCGCAGGCTGGTCTGGATCCATGCTGGTCGCAAACCCATTATGTTGGTTTTGTCGTGACGCGGCTCATTTTATGATATTGACTTGAAATAGGGTTGTTGATATGATTTGATAATGTAAAGATATCAGTTGATTGCTGTTATGCAATAAAATCAATACGTTTTCAACTCATTTCACATGGAATGAGTTATAATAAATACCAAACATTGGTTTAACATAACTACATGTATGATGATGCATATTTATTTGTTTATTTGTTGTTTTTTGATTATTTATTAATTGATTGATTGACTGATTGATTGATTGATTGATTGTTCAATTGATTAAATGATTTTTTTATTTTATTTTATTTATCTATTTATTTATTTGTTTGTTTGTTTGTTGGTTGGTTGTTAGTTTGTTGATTGATCGATCGATTTTATTTATTTATTTATTTACTTGCTGTGTTTTTTGTCTTTCTTTCTTTTTGCGAATATTTTTGGGTACATTAAAGCTCATGATTAATTCCATTAAACATTGCATGTAATTAAAGCACGTGGATGGACACAATGTCACTTCAAAACAAACTTTCTTAACTGAAAACATCGCATTTTAATCCTAATCATACAGACGTTTTATACGGCAAATATACTGATTTTTAAACTTCCTTGCACAGAAGGAAAGGTAGTTTTTGATTCAATGAAGAAAAATCAAACGTTTTGAATCAGCAATTGAAACGGACGCGCGCACCGTCGTCACCACATGAGCTGTTATGTGGAGGTAGAAGATAAAAAACAGGATCTATCTATGCATTGTGAAGTGAACACATACAAACATTTTAAAATGCAAAAATCCTGGTTTCTAAATTATGTTCTACAAAGTTCCGCTGTTTACCTTGATACAAGGGTCGTGTAATAGATGCACTTGCCAGCAAGTATCTTGTTTTATATCATTGTTCTAATATATCATATGTCATTTGTTCCATGTTGGAATCATCTCAATCAGTTTGAAAATCTTACAAGTGTTGCATTTTCTTAAAGTATTCTATAAATACGAAAGACATAGATTATGGACGGAATGAAGCTCATAGAACATTGGATGTTTGCCCGGACAGACGGACAGACAGACGGATCGAAGGAAGGAAGGTAGGAAGGAAGGTTAAATTATTTTAGATAATAATAAATTAAAATAAAACTAAGATATTTCAAATTTAGCATAATTATAATGAGATGATCCTTATTAAAACAATATATTAAAATATGGGAATATTTTAAATCTACCTTTAAAGTAGCATAAAAACCTACCTTTAAAGTAGCATAAAAACAACAAAATAACAACTTGATTCAAAATAGATTTAAATAAAAACAGAAATGACAATAAAATGACGAAAAAATAATCTATATGATGTCAATTATCAACTGATCACTTTATACAATTATGCGTTCGTTATGTTCTTAATTCAAAGTACGTGGATTATGTTTAGGGATAAAAATATCGTATTTTCTATTATTGTATACCACAGAAGTTTACTTTCTGAATACAGATGTGTGATAATATCTTTCTCTCATCTACTCATTTTTTCTAATTCTTAGATTTTGGAAATAACACAACGTGTTTCTGCTTTTGCAGAGTACATGTATAATTTGTTCTCTGACATCACAAAAAAATATCTGCTATTTTTCAGTTTCATATGAAAAATTCCTTTTAAAATTTTGGCTTTAGACAATAAAATCATACGTAAGAAATTCAATAAAATAGAATTTTGTCATGATCGATAGATCAAAATTGGTGGTGTAATGCCAATATGTAACTACTTTCACAATACAATATAAAACGTACACCGTTTCATAGTAAACAATATTTTTTAATAAATTTTGCATATTTATAATGTAATTTTCTGGTCAACATGACGAAACTGCGAGTACAACAATATATGGAGAAGCATAGACTAACACCACTTTTTGAGGTAAAGGCATTTTATTGGGTTGTTCTAGTACAATTATATATTTATTTTAGCTAAAAATATACGTGTTTAGGCCTGCAACTTGATTGGTATCCGGATAAATTTTATCCGTCTAAATCAAAATATATCATTAAAATTTAATTATCTGTCGATAAATGCACGAGAAAGTATAATTTTACAGACTGTAATAACATGTGAAATTAATTGATTATGCTACATCTGTAGTAAAGTTCTTTATTTCACAATTTAATTTAAAGACAAATTTATTTTTGTACAATGCACATCGGGTGCATAGAAAAACCGGAAAGCACCGGATAGCACCGAAAAACCGGAAAGCACTCAAATTTCTATTAAAAACATATGAAAACGTTAATTAATCGGTTTGAAAGTGTTACCAATCGATTTATTAGATTAAAATCTTTCAGACAAGTCATTTTGATCTAATAAATCGATTGGTTACACTTTCAAACCAATAAAATAAAGTTTTCATGTATTAATTTGATAAACTATATTGCTATCCGGTAAAGTACATGTACCTTAGCAGGACCGGAAAGCACACGATATATCTATTTTCCTAAATAATCGTAAAAATTATAAATATATTTTTATAAAAATGACTTGTCTGTAAGATTTTGATCTAATAAATCGATTGGTAACACTTTCAAACCAATAAAATAAAGTTTTCATGTATAACTTTGATAAACAATATTGCTATCCGGTAATGTACATGTATCTTAACAGGACCGGAAAGCACTCGATGTATCTATTTTCCTAAATACTCGTAATAATTATCAGTATATAAATATAAAAATGACTTGTCTGAAAGATTTTAATCTAATAAATCGATTGGTAACACTTTCAAACCGATTAATTAACGTTTTCATATGTTTTTAATAGAAATTTGAGTGCTTTCCGGTATTTCGGTGCTTTCCGGTTTTTCTATGCACCGATGCACATCAATCATCAGGGATTCAGGTCATTGCTTGTCAATATGACAAATGTAGATAACAATAATGGTTTATCTATTTCCCAAAGTATATAACAGTATAACATTAGCTATGTTTAGCTTTTGACTGGCATAAATGTATGTCTAAAATTTAAAAATATGATAAAAGTTCATCCATAGATCCATGTTTACCTTTTGAACATGTATATAGATTATGAAGCTCATTATCGTTGACAAGACAAGTGAAGCTACAAAACTACAATGAACCCCAATCCCCCACCCTAACCAATCCCCCACCCCAACCAATCCCCCTCAGGGAAAAGCTTCGACTGTGATTTTTTACTTTTATATACTGTAGTGGTAGCTAAACTTCTAAACTAGCTAAACTTCTAACTTCTAGCTTTTAAACTTCTAATAATTGCCCCACTACCAGGGACATTCAGATGGTTTAATCCCAGCTAAAAACCTTATCATTGCTTTGCTAATTAAATTGTAATCATAGTAATTGCCTTATATGTAGAAAACTGAAGTTTAAAAGATTGCAATCAGTTATAAGACAACATTCCTGTTTAGAAATAAGCATATACATGACCTTTTGTATAATAAGTCAAATTCTACTTTTTAAAAATTTATAAGTAGATATTTTTTTCACATTTATAGGATTTGATGAACAGAGTTCTACACGAACAACCTGATGATCCAATTGTTTACCTGATCAAATGTTTGTATAAGAAAGCATCCATACCTGTACCAAAGGTAATAGTATATACTGATATTAAAGTGTGCCTTATATAAGTTATAGTGCAGTTATATTTTTTATTACCCCTTACCATGCTAACTATATCATTACAATTAACTTACCGGTATGTTTAATTTATTGACTATTTCCATTTTTCATTCTGTACAATTGCATTCATCATTTTTACTAGAAATTTAAATGGAAATGTTTTGACTGAATTGTAAATTGTGCAGGTCATGATCAAATTTTAAATTCAAATTTTTAATTCATATAAGATATGATTTCATTTGAACATGGTATTTTGAATATACTTGGTATGATATAGACATTTTGATGTATAAGTTACTATAACATGAATTTAGCTGTTAATAAGTATCCATATATTTCAATATAGATTAAAACATACATACATGTACTACATGTACAAATTTACAAAAAAATTCATGTCCAGAATTCTGCTTTTATAATTACAGGACCTAAAGACAAGTCCAGTGAGACGGAGCTCCCCTGAAAGATTACGTATGTTATTACTTATGTTAAGAGATTATTGAATTATATTTGATTTTATGTTAAACAATCTGCCCTTCTTAGATTCACAGATGGAGGTCCAAATGACAGTGTCACAGTGATTACATAAGATAAGAAACTAATAAAGCAGTGTGGCTGAGTGGTTAATGTATCAAATTAGTAATCTAAGGACTGCAGTATGCTTGCTGTGTGGGTTCAAGCCCCATCAAGGACAAGCTGTTGTTTCCTAGAGCAAGAAACTTTACACTCATTGCTAAGTACTGGTTGGTTTAAGGAAAGGATCCAAGAATGTTCCGATAAGCTAAATACTAAGCTCAATAGCTGATTGAAATATTATAAGAATTAATTCTGTACAAATTGAAACTGATAGAAATTTTTTTTTTATATTACCAACTCCCTGCACTAGCAAGCAATCACTGCCAAAATTTCTTAAATTGAAAGAAATGAAATAATGATGACACAGTTTGAAGAAGGCTTAACAGTGATATGATGGACTTTTTCAAGATAAAATTACTGAAATACTTAGTTTGAAACAACAGAGAATTGTTTTTCCAACAGAGATTAAAAGCTGAAGACTGCTTTAAACATCATTGGACTAGAAAAAAACTTTTTTAATATATTTATTTTGTAATCCATATGTATATGTATAACCATAATTTATATTCATCTTTTTATTTGTTAACAGCAAGAAGAAGCAAGAGTCCTGAGAAGGGTGCCACACAAGCATGGGCTGTTGCCAGTGGACCAGGTGATAATTTTGATTGAAGTTTTTCTGTAGATTCATTTTGAAATAACTTTAATACATAAAAATGAATATGACATTGCAGTAAACCCTGACCACACCAAATATATTAAATGGACTTGCCCATCTTAAAGTTTGGACAAAACCACTTAATCATTTTTAATGAAAAAATTAAAAGCTGGAAATTCAAAAATATACTCTGTTTTAGACAGATCACTGACCTAAGGCAGATGCTTTGAGATGAAGAGTTTTTTACCAATACATGTATAAATATGTATATCTACATGTATTAATCATGTAATAAGTGAAGTGTGATTATGTGTATATAGATTTGGTAGACAGATCCTATGAGAAACCATGGTTAAAACACAGCAAGAAGACAAGGTCTAAAGATGAGGACAGGTGTGAATCCAGACAAGGTATGTTAAATATATTAGAAATACATGATTGACAAGCTAAATAAAGTTAACATATTTCAGGTGAATCATTGTAAAATAAAATAGTTTTTCAGCTCGACTATAAATGTAATGGGGCATCCATGGCCAAGTGGTTAAGATTGTTGAACTAAACAGTTTGCCCCTCACCTTTTATAGGTTAAAAATTTGCAAGGGACTTTGGATTCTTTCATGTGAGGAAGCTATCTAGCTAGTTTAAGGAAAGTTGGTGGTTCTACTTAGGTGCCGGCTTGTGCCTGAAATAATGCACAGACCTGAACGTCCACTACCAGTAAAGCTGGAAAGTCACTAACTATATCATCTCTACAGTGTTGTTGCCAAGTAAGCCTAACCAAAAAAGAATAGGTAGAGCTGATGTACTCGTGTCAGTGTCTGTGTTGTCATTGCCATCAAACTTCAGTTAAGATTTTGTATGCAAGTTGGTATCTCCAAAACTACTGAAGAGAATAGGTAGAAACTTGACACACTCGTTCTTTATGTTTCCTTTACTGTCGGGCACTGAGAATAGTGGAGTGGTCTGGTTTGCTTACAGCTTGACATTTTTTCATTCACAAGTTTTTAGCTCGACTATTCGCAGAATAATCGAGCTAATGCAGTCACCCATTTGTTGGCGTCGGCGTCCCTGTGGTTAAGTTTTTGTATGTAAGCTGGTATCTCCATAACTACTGAAGGGAATGGATTGAAACTTCACACACTTGTTCTCTGTGAATTATCTAGATGATTTGGCACAAGTTCCCACAACCTCTGAAATGTTTTATTTCATAATTATTGCCCCTTTTTTCGACTTAGAAAATCTTGGTTAAGTTTTTGTATGTAAGCTGGTATCTCCATAACTACTGAAGGGAATGGATTGAAACTTCACACACTTGTTCTCTGGTGATTATCTAAGATGATTGGCACAAGTCCCATAACTCTGATTTGCTTTTTTTCATAATTATGCCCCTTTTTCGACTTAGAAATTCTTGGTTAAGTTTTTGTATGTAAGCTGGTATCTCCATAACTACTGAAGGGAATGGATTGAAACTTCCCACACTTGTTCTCTGTGATTATCTAAGATGATTGGCACAAGTCCCATAACTCTGGTTTGCTTTTTTTCATAATTATGCCCCTTTTTCGACTTAGAAATTCTTTAGTTAAGTTTTGTATGTAAGCTGTTATCTCCATAACTACTGAAGGGAATTGATTGAAACTTCACACACTTTTTCTCTGTGTTTATCTAAGACAATTGGCACAAGTACCATAAACTCTGATTTGCTTTTTTACATAATTATGCCCCTTTTTCGACTTAGAAATTCTTGGTTAAGTTTTTGCGTGTAAGCTGGTATTCCATAACTACTGAAGGGAATGGATTGAAACTTCACACAACTTGTTCTCTGTGATTATCTAAGATAATTGGCAACAAGTTCCCATAACTCTGATTTGCTTTATTACATAATTATGCCCCTTTTTTTTGACTTAGAAATTCTTGGTTAAGTTTGCATGTAAGCTGGTATCTCCATAACTACTGAAGGTAATGGATTGAAACTTCACACACTTGTTCTCTTCTGATTATCTAAGATGATTGGCACAAGTCCCATAACTGGATTTGCTTTTTTAACATAATTATGCCCCTTTTTCGACCTTAGAAATTTTTGGTAAGTTTTTGCGGTGTAAGCTGGGTATCTCCATAACTACTGAGGAATGGATTGAAACTTCACGACACTTGTTCTCTGTTATTATCTAAGGTGATTGGTACAAGTCCCATAACTCTGAATTGTTTTATTTCTAATTATGCCCCCTTTTTTCGACTTAGAAAATCTTGGTTAAGTTTTTTTGTATGTAAGCTTGTATCTCCATAACTACTGAAGGGAATGTATTGAAACTTGAAGAGTTTGTACCTTTTCGGACAATTTTATGTATTCATATAGGTAAGCATTATTATACTCAATGAAACACCCTTGTGACAAATTTTCGAATAGTCGAGCTTTACTGTCCTCCGACAGTTCTTGTTGTTTTTTGTTGTTTTTTTTATATGTGAAATGTGGGTGGGGGATAGAGACGCTAAAACAGATAAACATATCAAAATTAACGTTTTGCTAAGTTTATTTCCCAATAGATATCCCATGTAATTTGTTTTTTAGCAACACTCATTAATTTAGTGACAGTTTCATAATTGATAACAAACAGCAGATGCAATTTGTAGCTAACCTGAACATAAAATCTCAGAGGTGGGCTTTTGTGATTGCATGAGGTCACAAGTGACCTCAAGGTTATGAAAACAACATATTTTACTGTTTTTAAATTTTTGTAAAAATAGTTAATCATATATAGACTCAGACTGTATACATTTTAAAAGTGGATTGTTCTACAACGAACATAATTATTTTCCATAAACATGTAAAATATTGATAAAAACAACAAAATAATTTATCGTTTGGATATTCTTATGGAATATTTCCAGAGAGCAAACTGTTGATAGAGTTCTTAAGTTGTTTTGGGTCCTCCTGGCCGCTGGTCCTTGTTGCTGGGTCAGGTTGGGATTAGGTTCATTGAACGCTGCCTTTCCTTGTTATATGCCCGAAAGAATTTCGGACATATTATGTTATACCCCCTGGCGTCCGTCCGTCCGTCTGTCCGTCCGTCCGTTAGCAATTTGGTTTCCGGAGCATAACTGAGGTTCCATTTGGCCCACAATATTCAAACTTCATAGGATGATTGTCCATATTGGGTAGAAGACCCCTATTGATTTTGGGGTCATGAGGTCAAAGGTCAAGGTCACTATGACCTTAAAACTGAAAACGTTAGCAATTTGGTTTCCGGAGCATAACTTAAGTTCCATTTGGCCCACAATATTCAAACTTCATAGGATGATTGTCCATATTGGGTAGAAGACCCCTATTGATTTTGGGGTCATAAGGTCAAAGGTCAAGGTCACTATGACCTTAAAACTGAAAACAGTTTTTGGAGCATAACTTAAGTTCCATTTGGCCCGCAGTGTTCAAACTTCATAGGATGATTGTCCATATTTGGTAGAAGACCCCTATTGATTTTGGGGTCACAAGGTCAAAGGTCAAGGTAACTATTACCTTAGAACTGAAAACAGTTTCCGGAGCATAACTTAAGTTCTATTTGGCCCACAGTGTTCAAACTTCATATGATGATTGTCCATATTGGGTAGAAGACCCCTATTGATTTTGAGGTCAAAGGTCAAGGTCACTATTACTTAGAAATTGAAAACAGTTTCTTGAGCATAACTTTAGTTCCATTTAGCCCACAATATTCAAAAACTTCATAGTATGATTGTCCATATTGGATAAAAGACCCCTAATGATTTTGGGGTCACAAGGTCAAAGGTCAAGGTCACTTTTACCTTAGAATTGAAAACAGTTTCTGGGACATAACTTAAAGTTCCATTTGGACCACAATTTTGAAACTTCAAAGGAGGATTGTTATTTGAAGAAGGTAATACTTTATTTTAGTCCCATGTCTTACAAATGCTTCATCTTTACTAAAAAAAAAAAACACTTTCGGTCATATAATGCTCCGCCTAGCGGTGCTCTTGTTTATCTTGTTTATCATATTTTAGTATGAACTTTTATATGAGGAATAATAATATTTTGTTCTAGAACGCTTTATTTCATGCTATATATTAATATGTCATATCTGATATTATGTATCGAGTACTTACCAATAACATCCATATATAATTCTTTTGTGGTTTGTTTTTCACGTCTGATACTAAATATCATCAACATTATTATTTCCGGTATTACGGATCTTCCATTATAGACCAATTCACTTTAACTTGGCTATTTTTAATTCTCATTGTTTAGGTTCATGTATTCAGGATGTAAATCTAACGTCTGCTCTTCATATATCAAAGAAAGTTCTATGGCCACGTAAAATGTTTTACTATTATTGGCATGGGTTTTTTGTATGCATACATATATACATGTATATTCCAGTGCTACCGTTTGTTCCAATTTGACATTTCTGATAGACAAGGGATATGAATGGTTATGAAATATTAACTTGCATCATGGGATATAATGTAATAAGGCTGCATCAAGGGATGATATGATATGTAAATTCATTAATATGCATTAATAATAATAATATATATATATTAGTAATAATTATATAATGGTTTTGTTTAAACCTCAAGTTGGCAAAAAAGTATGATGGGTTTGCAATGTATTAATTCTTTGTGCTGCATTTAGAGATAATGTGATATATAAACTCGTTAATATGCAATAATAGTTATTAATAAGTGATTAGTAGTGATGGAAATCGGATGAAATTTGTCCCAATCGATCATCGGTTCGATGAATTACATTAAGCACTTTTCAACACATTTTTAACCTAATATAGTCATAATTTTACGAAACAGATTTTATTTTTCAATGGATGTCAAATAATAACATTCACTTCACATTGTATTTCTATTGTTTACATCACTTAATGATCCTGTTCAACTCCAAATTGTCTCTAAGATGGTTTTTTTGCGATCAGCGAGGTGTTCCTAAAAGAAAATTACCGTCAGAATTAGTTCCCTTTGATACTTTAAACATTTTCGACGATGTCGTGGAACAAATTTTTTGTGAATCGATTATTGTCGCTTTACATAACAGTAACTGATTTTCGGCGACTTGGGACAATCAGAACATCACTAGTAATTAGTATTATGTACATGAGTAGTATGCTGGTTTTGTTTAAACCTTAACTGTGCCGAAAAAAGTGTGATGGGCTTTTCTCAGCTTTGAATTTTGGAACAGTCCATTTATAAATAAAGGGATTTTAATGCTAGCATAGCTCAATCAGTTAGAGTGCGAGACTTGTATTTTGGACATTGTAGGTTCGATTCCCAGGCTGGCCATCTAAAATTACTAAAATAGTCTGTCGGATGAGACTTTAAATCGAGGTTGCCAGGGCTTAAGATTACTAAATCAGTCTTTTGGATAAGACCGCCTCCGGGGTCGAGGGGTTAGAGTCGATGACTTCTAATCCAGTTACCTCTCTGGCGTGGGTTTGATCCCCGGGAGATGCTTTGGTAGTTTAGCGCGGAGGAAGGTAGTCTAGTACTGGTGTAACTTTCCAGGAACGATGGTTAGGAAACTACCCGCCTATATGACTGAAATAGTGTTGGAAAAAGGCGTAAAATGAAACAAACAAACAAACTTTTGGATAAGAGTTTAAATCAAAGTACCATGTAGTATTGCTTAAACCCTTTGCATGCTAAAGAACAAGATCAAGCTTCTAGAATTTGGGCATCTTTCAGTATCGGTATCTTGCACTATCCTTCAAAATGTAAAATGACTAATATTCTTCCAAAGGATAGGCCCATATGGGCAATAAAAGTGCAAAATTGAGCTACCGTCAGTACAGAGCCTAGTAAGACGGCACAGATCATGATGGGTGTACAGGCTTGCCTGGCTTTATACTTGAGACAAACGCTTGTCAATTTCCAGACGCTTTAATGGCATAAACAATTCCCTATCACTATTACATAATTGAGATAGATATTATCACCTTGTGATGAATTAAATGACCTTTAAGTGGAAAAGGTCACCTTGTAAATGATAAATTTGGAAAGGTTACTTTTGGGAAAATGACAAATTTAGAAAGATTACCTTGGGAATAATAGAAGGAAGTTCTAAAAATCGTCTTTGGAATAGAGTTAGTATTATAAAATACTTATTTAGCGTCTTATTTTCACAAAGTTTAATATTATTTAATATTATTTGCATGGATTTAGACTTTTTCTCAATCTGGAATGTCTACGGGTGTAATTGAATTTATTCTATAGATAAGGTGTATCAATGAGTGGTTGAGCCGGACTAGTTATCTAAGGATTGTTGGCAATGTGGGCTTAAATCCCAAGCTGTTGTTTCTGTGAGCAAGAAGTTTTATACTCAATACCTATTACTGGTTGGTTCCAGGAACGGAATCAAAGATGTTTTAATAAGCTTATAACTTCCAACATTATAAATTTGTATAAACTAATCAGTTGCAAAAATATAATACAGGAATTACCCTCAACTAATTGATGTTTCCTTATATAGTATGGTAAATGTTAGAATTATATATCACCATCATGTGTTTATTAACAATTAAACATTAGATCAGGGTTTTGTGTTATGTCCTTGTGAATTGTGTCAATTATTAGCTTGACTAATTGAGGAAAGGGAGAGCTTATTTTACTTGTTTGTTCGGTGGTGTTTGTGTAACACGCTGGTCAAGTTTTTGTGTGCAAGTTGGTACAATAAAAACTACTGAATGGATTAGGTTGAAACTTTACATACTTATTTTAGAGCACAATAGGAGGTCACTATCCAAGGCCAATTACTGTAACATGGATTTTGATAGAATTATGGCCTTTTTTTTAATTAGAAATTTCTGTGTTATCCTGGCTCCTGTTTTACCATCAAGCACTGAGAATAGTCGAGTGCGCTGTTCTACCAACAGCTCTTGTTTTATTAATATTGACACCATGTTAGAATAAATATTGAATTTGTTTTTAATCCGATAATGTAAAGTGAAACCGATACTCAAATTACCGATAGTATATTAAATAGAAAGGTTCCTGTTTACATTTGCACTGCAATAAAACTTTAGTTTGTGTACAGTGTGTCCCCGATGTGAGCTTTAAAATGAACAAAAACTATAAAAATGCAGCATGGGACAGTCTGTTCATCTGTTTGTTCATATTATTTGTTAATGAACATCTGAAATGACAGATTTTATGCTTAAATATTTATCTCTTTTGCTGCCTACACGACTGAAAAAACCCATTCCACTGTTTACCAAACAAGACCATGTTACTTGCTCACTGCAATATGATTTTATTTATACAAATGATTAATTGATTTTTATGGTATTTATTGCTCGACTTTTTGAACAGCTATTGTCACGAAACTCTTTGACGGTGTTGGTGTCGGTTAAACTTTTTGTTACCAATAAAAGCTATTCACTTCAGACTTGGTTTACATGTCATAAAAAAAGAACAAACACTTGCTTAAGTACATACTTAAGTTAAAGATAGGGCAGCAATAGGTTTTAAACATTATATTTTATGCAGAAGATGTTGTTCTAGCAATTAGATTATAGACAATCAAGCATGTCAGTTGTCTTGATTTACTAACTTTACTTATAACTGTTCATCCATTAATTCATGTATAATATTAACCTGTGAATTGATGGAAATTATTTTTGAAATCACCTGGATATTAATTGAGCATAAGTAAAAAATTCTTGGAACAAAACTTAATTATTACCCTTTAAGATTTTTTCCGCCTTTTTTGATTGGATATTGATCACCCGAAAGAAATTGATATTACCGAGCCAGACGGGTAATATACACACTAAATTTTCCCTGTTGGGTACCCCACGTTCTAAACAACATGCGTTTGTGGCGATGCGCATACGGTTTGATTTTACGCGATGTAAATTCCGATTTACAAGCACTTTTTTAACTGTCAAATGATAAATATTTACCAAAACAGAGTAATTCATACATATTCTCATCAGTATTGAAAACAAATATGACCTTGTGAAAGCTTGATATTAATTTCAAAAAGTGCGTTCAACAGACTACTCCTTTTCTCTTGTTTATATTGTTAGGTTCGAAAGAAAATACTTCATGTATTTATGTGACGTCATGTAGTGATGAAGGGGTACCCTAAAGGGAATCTTATTTCGACGTTTCATTTGAAGTAGCAATGATTTATTTTAAAATCATCTTAACTCGGCAGGGGAAGGGTAATAAAATTATTATTTTGGTTTGTGAGTGATATATTTGGATATATTACCTGCCAAGATAAAATATCACCCTCCCTTGACGGCTCGGGTGATATAAAATCTTGACAGGTAATATATCCACATATATCACTCCAAAACCAAAATAACATATTTCATGTGATGGGCTCCCGTCCTTTGCTAACCTTGCAGCTTGCCTTTTTCAAAGGATCTAGCATTGATCAAGATTATGCACTGTAAGTCTAGGGTGCTATATTATCAACAACTTTGGGCTTCATACAAAACTTCCCTTAGACGTGGGACAAATTCTCTTTTGTAAATGGATGCGGTTTTTGTTTGCCAAAATGGTGTTTTCAACTACAATTTAGTTTATCTTTCCTGGCTAAATACAAATTTCTATATGGTCACCTTAGTGCAGTAACAGCTTAACTCCTTATATAATTTGATAGGAGTTAACCCATTACTGCACTAAGGTGACAATGGAAATGTAAGAACCCTTTAAGTTTAAATCCTTACTGCTATGAACCCTTTACCTGCTGACGGCAATGGATTTTACCCAAGCAACCAGTGCAGACCAGGATCATCTGGCACATCTGTCACTGTTAGCTATTTCATCATTAAGAAATTTGAAATTTTCCCTAAAAGTGATGAATGATTATGTCCAAATTGAAAGATTGACAAGCCAATTTAAGATTTTTAGCATGGTAATTAATATAACATTGATATTGGAAAATAACATGTACATAAAAAGTATGCAAACTAACACAGTTTACTAATTGATTGTACATAGAGGATATTGAATGAATATACATGTCGTAGGTTAAATATTAAATTTATTGAACATGTTGAATAAAATAATAATATTGTTTTATTCAACAAGTTTAATAAAATTAGTATTGAATCAACCTGAATATGATATAGTTCTGTATGTCAGATATCCATAATAAGAACAGTTTACCATTAAAAAGAGTCATCCTTCATTAAATTTTATGCACCTATAGTGTATATGGCTCAGTGGAGATCCTTTAACTTTGTAAGATAAGGGAAAGACACTCTTGTATGTAGAATACAGTTAGAACTCTACGCAAAGGTAGCACAGCACTACTGTAAGTCATTTAGATATTGTAAGACAAATCTGGTAAGAGTGCCAAAATTATTTGGTCAGTTTCAAGTGTGTTCTCAGTATCACCCAGTCATATGTAGTTTGACTGATCATTACAATGTAAACCCTTTTAAAGGCACATTATGCCTTAGAAATGAATAAATGTTTACTTCTTTAGAAAAGGAATATATCAGTTAAGTAATGTTTAAATTATGGGTAAAAGTTTTTAGATGCTTGTTACCAGAAGACAATAGGGCTAAATGTTGAATGATTTGGTCATAAAATTAGCAAAATGTGAACACAGATGTATTTTGACTCCCATACAAAAATACTAAATCGCTATAACTGTACTAAATGCAAACAAGCAAAAGATTTTTCAAGTCATTGATGAGTATCTTTTTCGAAACCATGAAAGTACAAAAAATAAATAAAAAGCTTTAGAGAAATAGAAATAAAAAAGCATTTATTGGGCATAATGGGCCTTTAATCATACATTAGACCTGAAGGTTTATACACGATTTCCAGTTTAGTCTTTGAACTTTCCATTGATAAAACTTAAAAAGAATTTTCTGAAATCATTGCCAGAGAGTTTTGATTTGATGCAATGTAATTAAGCAAGTAACTTTATAGGTTTTCATGGTCTTTTTTCTAAAGGGACTGCAAAGAAACAGCAAAAGTCTGGCTGGGTGTCTGATACAAAAGTCACGACAACAAGTTTTGATGAGCTGTTTGAAGAAGATGCACATGCTGGTTCCAGGCAGCCACAACAAGGGGGAACCAGACATAGAAAAGAAGGCGGCACAGATATTACAAAAGCGTGGGCACAGCATGTTAGTTTAGATGTAAGAAATCCCGACCTTATTCCTTATTGAACAATTTTGGTGTAAATTAGAACTGATTTCTGTCTTTTTTTTTGAAATCCTTAAAACTTCAAAGCCTTTTGTGTGTAATTTATGCAATGGACAATTTAGTGTAACTTGTAACTCATGTAACATTGTCAGTACAAAAGGTAACATTTTATGAGTGTGAAAATTATACATCCAATATAACCTAGCCAGTTTTGTACAGTTATGTGACCTTACCAACTTTGATATTGGTACACCTTTGTGACCCAGCCTATTTTTATAGAAGCACACCTATGTGATCTAGCCTACTTTGATATTGGTACACCTATGTGAGCTTCCTTTCATTGATATTGCTTCACCTATGTGACTTAGCCTTCTTTGACTACTTTTATAATGTTAATCCTATGTGATATGGACAATTCAAAACATATAACACAGAAATGACCTGGCCATTTGTTTAGTTTGATAATCAGTCACCTATGTGGCAGAGTCAACTTTTGAGACTGGGATATTTATGTCCCTTGAGCCAGCTTTGGGAAATCTGTATGTTCTTGCAAACTTTGATAATGGTAAATTTATATGATCAGTATTTGGTAAGGCATATTTGTTCAGTCTGAGCTAATTTTTAACTACTTAGTTTTGATATCTGATCCTTTAGTCATACAGTTCGAAATTGAATGTTGAAATTTTGTGACACAAAGTAATGTCAAGGAGAGAATAATTAATAACTTAAACCTTATTAATACATATGACATATATTCGCAGGATAGTGAAGACCCAAACTATAGAAGTAAAGGTTATTCTGGTCCTCGTTGCCAAAGAGACGAAAGTGATCCATTAGCAGGGGAGATAATGCTTGCCAAGGAGGAGAGTACAGTTGAAAGTTCTGTTAGGTAATTTTCCTTCAATTCTATTTTAAATGCCTGTTTGAAAAGCAGGACATATTATGGGAATGCCCCTGGCATGGCGGTTGGCGTCCAATTTAGTCCAGAGCATATATCCTACACGCATGGAGGAATTTTTATGAAACTTCATGGATATGTTCACCTCTATGAGAAACTGTGTCGTGCACATTAACTAGGTATCTAGATCAAAGGTCAAGGTCACACTTAGTTCTCTGAAAAATGGTTGTCCCTGTAAAGGGACCAACTGCCATGCTACACTTCTTATCGCCCATATCTACACCTAAAGCTTTTGTGTGGGGCATAATTATTTTGTGACTATCATTGTCAATGTCACCCTTGTTATCTATTTTTTTAACCAAGGAAATGTAACTTTCGTTGAGCAGGCTAATCTACCCTTCCTGGGTTTGGCATTCACATTCTCATCAGCATTGTCCCTACACTGTTTTGTGTGATAAAAATGTGTGTGGAACTTCTTACCTGGCAAGATATTAAAGGTATTTTTGAGATGCATTGTAAGTCATTTCATAGTTGGCAAGTTGTACTTTTCTCAGATCTCTCTTTAACTACAGGATATTTTTTATGGTCAAGTGTATATCTTTTTTCTTAACTGTAAGTACAGGCTTGGAAAACTGTGTCTGGGAATTGATCCTTTAGCTCAGTGGGCAAGAATGTTATTACTAATGAGGAACAAGTTGCTAATTCGAATCCTAGTTACAGCACAAGATCTTTTCTGATGCATTTGCATCATTTTGTTATAAAAAAATATATTATTAAGGTATGATTGAGTATAATATCAACAATGGTTTTCATCAGGATAAACAGCACAACACTGAGTTAAATGTTTGACTTATCGGTTTAAAAAGTGATGTAATTTATAACAATCCTAAACCAGCTACCGGTACAAACCGGAATATTTAGCGTGAGGGTAACTGTTTAAGGCAGTAACAAGGCTCTCCCAAGTTTTTTACCAAACCTTTACCCAAGAGCTAGATATTACCGTCTTTGACACCATTTAAAGCATGTGATCTGTCTTTCACAAGGGGGTGTAAGACGGGTTTTTCTAGCACTGGTGTAAACAGTGTCATATGCAAGAAAAAGAATTGATGATTTTTAGCTCGACTATTCGATAAGAATAAGTAGAGCTATTGCAGTCACCCGAGCGTCGGCGTCGGCGTAACCACTTATGTTAAAGTTTTTGTAATAGTTTAAATATTTTCAAAGTCCAGTGACATATGGCTTTGAAACTTTGCACACTTGTTCACCATCATGACCCCAACCTGTAGACAGGAGGAGGTAACTCTATCAAGCATTTTGACAGAATTATGCACCTTTTTCAAATTAGAATTTACGTTAAAGTTTTTGTAATAGTTCAAATATTTTCAAAGTCCATTGACATATGGCTTTGAAACTTTGCACACTTGTTCACCATCATGACCCCAACCTGTAGACAGGAGGAGGTAACTCTATCAAGCATTTTGACAGAATTATCCCCCTTTTTGACTTAGAATTTACGTTAAAGTTTTTGTAATAGTTCAAATATTTTCAAAGTCCATTGACATATGGCTTTGAAACTTTGCACACTTGTTCACCATCATGACCCCAACCTGTAGACAGGAGGAGGTAACTCTATCAAGCATTTTGACAGAATTATGCCCCTTTTTCGACTTAGAATTTACGTTACAGTTTTTGTAATAGTTCAAATATTTTCAAAGTCCATTGACATATGGCTTTGAAACTTTGCACACTTGTTCAACATCATGACCCCAATCTGTAAACAGTAGGAGGTAACTCTATCAAGCATTTTGACAGAATTATGCACCTTTTTCGACTTAGAATTTACGTTAAAGTTTTTGTAATAGTTCAAATATTTTCAAAGTCCATTGACATATGGTTTTGAAACTTTGCACACTTGTTCACCATCATTACCCCAACCTGTAAACAGGAGGAGGTAACTGTATCAAGCATTTTTTTACTATCAAGCACTAAGAATAGTCGAGCGTTGCTGTCCTACCGACAGCTCTTGTTGTTATTGCGGACAGTACTTTATTTAGTAAAATATTTCCAATTTCAGTTCACTAAAACCAAAGGGAGCAAAACAAGAGGCAGAGAGACATAGACAAGATCTGGAGAAGATATTACATGAATCTGATAAAGTATCCATTGACTCTGGATTTGACGATGTTCGTAACAACGATGAACAAGATGATGCTATTGAATTGCTGGGTAATACAATACAGGGTTAAAGCTGCATGCCTCCAGATGAGCCAAAATATTTAAATAGAATCAAACTTTGAGAAAAATGTACTAAGATTTTAGGAAAAGTAAAACAGATTCAAGTTAAAATTTACATGTATTGTGCAATTAATGATTTTTCTGTATTTATAATTGTACTTAAATTTTAGGAAATGTAAAAAGATTCAGGATTCAAGTAAAAATTTACATGTAATGTGCAATTAATGACAGATTTTTCAGAATTTATAACTTTATTTCTACTGTGTTACTGATGCAGTTAGGGCTATTCTTTTTTAGCTTGACTATTCGATAAGAATAAGTAGAGCTATTGTAGTCACCCGAGCGTCGGCGTCCGCATTGGCGTCGGCGTCGGCGTAACCACTTATGTTAAAGTTTTTGTAATAGTTCAAATATTTTCAAAGTCCATTGACATATGGCTTTGAAACTTTGCACACTTGTTCACCATCATGACCCCAACCTGTAGACAGGAGGAGGTAACTCTATCAAGCATTTTGACAGAATTATGCCCCTTTTTCGACTTAGAATTTACGTTAAAGTTTTTGTAATAGTTCAAATATTTTCAAAGTCCATTGACATATGGCTTTGGAACTTTGCACACTTATTCACCATCATGACCCCAACCTGTAGACAGGAGGAGGTAACTCTATTAAGCATTTTGACAGAATTATGCCCCTTTTTCGACTTAGAATTTACGTTAAAGTTTTTGTAATAGTTTAAATATTTTCAAAGTCCATTGACATATGGCTTTGAAACTTTGCACACTTGTTCAACATCATGACCCCAACCTGTAGACAGGAGGAGGTAACTCTATCAAGCATTTTGACAGAATTATGCCCCTTTTTCGACTTAGAATTTACGTTAAAGTTTTTGTAATAGTTCAAATATTTTCAAAGTCCATTGACATATGGCTTTGAAACTTTGCACACTTGTTCAACATCATGACCCCAACCTGTAGACAGGAGGAGGTAACTCTATCAAGCATTTTGACAGAATTATGCCCCTTTTTCGACTAAGAATTTACGTTAAAGTTTTTGTAATAGTTTAAATATTTTCAAAGTCCATTGACATATAGCTTTGAAACTTTGCACACTTGTTCACCATCATGACCCCAACCTGTAAACAGAAGGAGGTAACTGTATCAGGCATTTTTTTACTATCAAGCACTAAGAATAGTCGAGCGTTGCTGTCCTACCGACAGCTCTTGTTTATATTATTATCTTGGTAATTTACGTGGTTTGTAAGTGCCATTGATTATTTGTAAATTGCTTCCTTTTGGTTACTTAACAATATATTACTTTTAAATACATTTTTAAAATTTTCATGGAAATTGGCATGAATCTGAAGGTGGTCTGCTGTAATGCACCTTTTAGCCCGTATTATAATTATGTAGAAGCAGGAAGACCCATTTAAAGTCCAAGCCCAAAAGGGGGGGGGGGGGGGGAGATATTTTTGCATAAAAGAACATGTTAAATTCTGTAATTCTGCATTTCTGTTATCTATTTTTGGTATGAAAAAAACACATTTTGCTATGCTTTCCTTGTACTATTGCAAAGTCATTTGATTGTATTTGCTTTGATAATGTAACTAACAGGGCCTTCATTGCATGTTTTGATAATGCAACTAATAGGTCTGTCAATGCAGTTAGCTACTTTTACATGACACCCCAAGTCACACATATTAAAAAACTTGCAACAATGGCATGTGCAAGTGTAATTTTATCAGTAAATGCATTATTTTCTGTTAATGTATACCTGGTGAATTGATTTTATGCAAGAATGAAGTTCATTGTCTGTATATTTAATTAATACTATTTTGATAAAAAAGACTTCATTTAACTAATCTTATTCCATTAAGTATTGAAAACAGTCATGGGCACTGTGTTATAGAAATTCTGTGTTGTATTGGTGGTGTTTTCATCCCATATTACAGCAGTAAGCCTGGCACATTGAATTTACCAGAGCTTAGCTCAGCCACCATATCATTTCTTGCGAGTTGACCTGTACTAGTTGCCTTCACTTTCATAAGGAACTGATAACTTCTGTACATGCCAGAGCAGAGGTACAGTGCGAAATATCATGATCAATCACAACGAAAGTGACCTGCATAGTTTGGGAAACAAACCCTGGTCGCTCGATTCACAGTCCAATACTTTACCTATTGAGCGAACCAGATGGCTTTAACCTTTGTGTTTGATACATTCAGATATTTTGTTGTTTCAAACATTGACTTAACATTTTACATGTTCTATGTTTTGTTTTAGAAAATTTGTGAACCAAAAATCTTGAGATATTTTTGTTTTTGTTTTTCACAGAGGATCCAGAGGATCTAATGAGGGAGGGTGTAACAAACATTCCTACATCGGGATATAAACTCAGCAGGGTATGTAATATTGACCATAAATATGCTGAATAAAATTAGGTTTTATTTAAAGGCACATTATACTTGGGTCACAAATATTTTTTTTTCTTTAGAAAGAGCATACAGTTGACTCCACTTATAACGAACTCGCTTATAACGAATTATCGTTAATAGCGAACTAAATCTGACATCCCCGGCCGATACCTTCTTTATTTTATATTAAATCACATCGCTTAATACGTACTCGCTTATAACGAATTTTCGGCTATAACGAACTATTTTTCAAGCCCCAAATGACGAAAAGCATGTAAATTTCCTCGGTTATAACAAACAGTTATAATTGAAATATCGGGATGCGCTCGATTAGGATCAGTACATGAATAACGCTATCTGATAATTATACAATTGAATGATTGTACAGGTTAGTTATGGCTTCAGGGAATAAAGATTTTGATAAAATGTTCTCACAACATAATTTCCTACTTGTTACGGAAATTTGTATTTCGCACCCTCAGTTGATTGATGTAAATACCTGATAATTACCAAATAATCGATTGTTTTTGTTTGCAATATAAACCAAACGATAATAAACAATTAGCAAAAGAATACAAATGGTAAGCACTTTATAGACAAATAATACATGAATATATACATGTACCATGTACATAATATATTGTTCAATAAAATGCCCCGCATTAAATAAGCATTAAATAACCGCTTTAGTAAAATACCGGTTACACAGGTAACCAGTGAAAAGTATGGCTTTTTCACGGCAAATTTCCCAATCCAAACAAGTCAGCAAGTGGTTGCTACTTCGCTTTTAGCGAACTTCGGATATAACGAACGATGTTTTAATGTCCCAGTGAGTTCGTTATAACCGGAGTCGACTGTACATGAATTTTGTTAATGTTAAAGTAATGGTTTATGGTTTAAGAGAATGTTAGATACTTGTTACCTGCAGAAAGTATTGATAAATATGGAATAACTTGTCATAAATGAGGTAAATTGTAAACATAGTATTCGGACTTTCATAGAAAATATTCACTATAATTGTACTTATTGCCAAAAAAGCAACAGATGAAAAGAGGTGGTCTAGGTAATTGACCAATGAGTTACTTTTTGGATACTATAATAGTACACCAAATTAAAAAAAAATTTGAGAAATAAAAATAAAAGCAATTCTGAGGCACAATGAAGCTTTTAATCAATTCTTGTTAATATTGTGGATATCTGATATAATACAGAAAACTATGGCATATACATGTTTTTTTTTTGTAAAAGTGTCTCATAAAGAAGTTTATTATAATGTTGGTTTTATTAAAGCCAAAAACTCTCGTACTATAAGCATAAATTTTAAGCTCAGTGTTCAAGTGTGAATTATTAGACAGTGTCAGGCATCCGCCCTTTCAATTCATATGACATCCATATTTTGGTGTTAAAAGATCTTTACTGAGGTTTTTAAATCGGGTTATTGTAATGCCGAAGTCGGCGGGCGGGCGTCAACTTTTGGTTTCCGCTCAATAACTTTAGTTTGCTTTGGCCTATTGACACCAAACTTGGTGTATGGATAGCTTATATCAAGAGGCAGCTTGGGATTGCTACCCAGGTGTCTGTGATCAAGGTCAAGGTCACTGTTACTAAAAATAGAAATTCAGTTTCCGCTCAATAATTTGAGTTTGCTTTGGCCTATTGACACCAAACTTGGTGTATGGATAGCTTATATCAAGAGGCAGCTTGGGATTGCTACCCAGGTGTCTGTGATCAAGGTCAAGGTCACTGTTACTAAAAATAGAAATTCAGTTTCCGCTCAATAACTTGAGTTTGCTTTGACCTATTGTCACCAAACTTGATGTATGGATAGCTTATATCAAGAGGCAGCTTGGGATTGCTACCCAGGTGTCTGTGATCAAGGTCAAGGTCACTGTTACTAAAAATAGAAATTCAGTTTCCACTCAATAACTTGAGTTTGATTTGGCCTATTGACACCAAACTTGGTGTATGGATAGCTAATATCAAGAGGCAGCTTGGGATTGCTACCCAGGTGTCTGTGATCAAGGTCAAGGTCACTGTTACTAAAAATAGAAATTCAGTTTCCGCTCAATAACTTGAGTTTGCTTTGGCCTATTGACACCAAACTTGGTGTATGGATAGCTTATATCAAGAGGCAGCATGGGATTGCTATCCAGGTGTCTGTGATCAAGGTCACTGTTACTAAAAATAGAAATTCAGTTTCCGCTCTATAACTTGAGTTTGCTTTGGCCTATTGACACCTAACTTGGTGTATGGATAGCTTATATCAAGAGGCAGCTTGGGATTGCTATCCAGGTGTCTGTGATCAAGGTCAAGGTCACTGTAACTAAAAATAGAAATTCAGTTTCCACTCAATAACTTGAGTTTGCTTTGGCCTTTTGACACCAAACTTGATGAATGGGTAGCTTATATCAAGAGGCAGCTTGGGATTGCTACCCAGGTGTCTGTGATCAAGGTTAATGTATTTAGTTTTCATGTTATAACTTGAGTTTGCTTTGACCTTTTGACACCAAACTTGCTGAGTCGCAGCTTTGGATTGCTACTTAGATATCTGGGAGCAAGTTCAAGGTCATTTACTTACAATAGAATTTTCAGCTTCTACCCAATAACTTCAGTGCACTTTGACCTATTGATTGCTGTCACATAAAAACTTGGCCGTTGAAAACCTGGTTTTCGTCGCATTGCGGCGCTTCTTGTTCTTTATGAGTTGACTGGAAATAATTTTTCTAGATGAATATTTAATTTGATGTAGATCTAGACCAATAACTTGTATGCAAAATATCAGATCTTTCGCTCACTCAGTATTTCCAGAATAATTATTCTAATTATAAAAAAATGACCCAAATTGGCAACACTTTTCATTAAAATCTGGGCTGGGTGGCACAAAATTTTGATTTTCAACTTATTTCTGTGTATATTTCTTGATGATCTTTTGCAATAATAATCTTTCTGTAATAATTGCCACTGCTTATCTATGTATGAAATTCAAATTTTTGTTTTCACACTGGAGTTTCTATAACAATCTTGATCCAATGTATCTTCATTAAACTTTCTGTATGTCACAATAACATAGGCTGTATTTTAACATTTTCAGATTCTACGCCAAAGACAAGAAGATGCCAATGTAAAGTTAAATATCAAGTAAGTTAATACTAGCATGTAGCCTTATGCTTTGTTTGAAGAAAATAATTTTTGTACATTTAAACTTATACTTTGTCAGAAGAAAACATTTTTTGTACAGTTTTTGTCTCAATAATATTTTCTTAAGGCATATAAAAACTTAAAAAAAGTATTTTTGCTGCTGGTCTTGTTAAGGTCAATATTCAAAGAAAAATGTATTGTTATTACACTCTAGTCACTATTAGTGTTGGCATTGGTTTGTTTAGATCAATATTTTTTCAGAAACTTTCAAAGCTATTCCCTTCAAACTTTACTACTATAAAAAATGTGAGAGACACATAAATCTTAAATAATTTTTCATAGTTATGACTCTTTTCTTATTTATCTATTTTTATTTGCCAATAATATTATCTGCAACATTATATAATGGTAACTACCTACTAGACAAGCAGTCTTATGTTTGCGTCCAATTCCAATCTATCAAAAAAAGTGTTGTTCAATATATGTATTTCTGACATTATTAGGAAAAATTACATTGATGAATATTAATAAAATCAAGTAAAGACTGGTTTAAAGCTAAAGAACTGTAAAAATATCATGTCATTTGGCTTAAATTTATCTTATTTACACTGTCTACTACGGACAAAAAACTGCCTTTCAGATGACTCACAGCAACCAGTGCGCCTGATTGGATGAAAAGATAACGCAACACTAGTCTTTAGTCTCATGTCACGTTACATTTTATGCCAGATATTATGTATAATGTTATTTATTACAGTGTGTCAGGTTTAGAGGAAGGCAGTAAGTTATATAACCTAGCTTGGCATTTATCTTTGCCAAATTTTAAACCAATTAGAAGTAGACATATTTTGTTTAGCATAACTGTCACCAGCTTTTGATAGATGATTCCATAAAACTGTGTTCATCAAATGTATATAGTTTAAAAACAAGTTAGAAATATTGATACAATTATGTGTGATGCAAAAAAATAAAAAAATAAATGCAAAAACAAAAAGAAAAAGCAAAATAAAAGTACAGGTGAATGGTTGTTTTGGGTCCTAACAAAACTATGTATTTGGATAAATATAATTGAGCCGCGTCATGACAAAACCAACATAATGGGTTTGCGACCAGCATGGATCCAAACCAGTCTGCACATCCGCACAGTCTGATCAGGATCCATGCTGTTCGCTATCAGTTTCTCTACTTGTTATAGGGTCTGTAAGCGAACAGCATGGATCCTGATCAGACTGCGCGGATGCGCAAGCTGGTCTGGATCCATGCTGGTCGCAAACCCATTATGTTGGTTTTGTCGTGACACGGCTCATATGTATGTTTAAAAGTTTTCATTACATACATGAACGTTATTTGTGCAAATTTGATACCTTTGTTGCAGTGTTAAAAGAGAAAGATTGTAAACAAGTTTCAAAGTACACTGTACAGTTTTAATGAGAGAGGTTTTCTTAACAAAAAAGGTTCACAATAGGGTCACAACATGTTTCGATTATTATTGATTTTTTTACTAAGTTATAACTGTAGGAGTTTGTTTGTACTCGGAGTAAAACCTAAATTACATAAACCAAGTTCTGGAGTATATCTATCTATACATAAAGGGCCACCTAAAAATGTCTTCCTTCACTAGTAAAGCTGGGAAATCACCATACAACCCTTACCATAACAGTGTGTCTTAAAACTGAAAAAAACGCATGAATTTTGAAAGCCAGTATATGATTATTACAAATGTGATTCAAAATGCACTAAAACATTTAAAAAATTATATTTAATTTAAGCATTTAAAATTTTATTTTTTAAACTATATACAAAGATGAACACAGTTTTGACAAGTTTTTTTTTATTTCCAGTTTCTTACACTTCTAACACTTTGTTGTCATCTCACAATTTCAGTCTATTTACTGGTACCCCAGCCTCTGACTATGGTAAGTAGTCACATCTATCATTCTTGGTAACTTTAGATACAACTACCTCAAAGTCACTGTATGTATGTAACCCTGTTTTTGTTGCTAACTAACCCACTAGCTTTGAAGATTGTGGTTTTCTCACCTAGGTGAAACCTATTATGTTTGTCAGAGAAGGCCTTCCTCCACAAGTTGATATATAACATTAAACCAGGCTAAATAAACCAAGTGGTGACTTGGCAGAGTGGTTTAATATACTTGTAACTAATGATACCTGGCCTTGTGGGTACAAACCCTGTCAGGGGCAAGCTGTTGTTTCTGTGTGCAAGACACTTAACACTCATTGCTAAGTACTGGTTGGTTCCAGGAACTGATTCAAGAGTGTTTTTTATAAGCATATAGCTTCCAACACAATCAATTTAAAAAAATATTATAAACCAAGGTTTATGTTTTGAATATTTCTTGTAACACAATATAAATTTATGAAAAGTTTAAAGTGACATTATGCTCATATTTTCATGGCCAAGTTGAGCTGAGATGTCTATTAAATTGACTCTATATTTGAAAGGATTGACTGTTATAAGGGTGACTGACCAATAGTTGATATTGAAAAAATGTTTTGGATGAAATATAATTCTGCCTAAATTATGAAGAGACAACCCCACTCTTTTTATATTTATAAATTGAACAGTACAGGAAAATTCTGATGGATATTTACATAATGTTCCTTACCGAACATGAGTTATTTATCATTCACTTGAAGTAAACTATTAAATAGAAAAGCAACTATGGCAAAGTGTGAACTTATTATGATTTTAACCTGTCCCTTAGATGGGCATAATGTCACTTTAAATAAATCGTATAAAATAGTTTCATTTTGGTTTTAGCAGGTAAGAAAGGATATTTAAGATCTTCACATGTTTACACTAGTATATTATAGAATTAGAGTAGAATTATTTTTTTTGAGATATTGGCTTCAGATTTATGCTAATTTTCATGAAAATGTTTAAAATGTATTTAAAAGTAAAATACATGTACATGTATTGTGAAGTGATCAAAGAAAGTAATTTATACATTACAAACAGCATTTTCAAGCCATGAAAATTTAACTGTTATTGTACCAAAAAGAGGTCAAAATATGCAAAGATAGCCCTTACTGCATTAAGTCAAGCAATAGAAATATAGTGATATAAATACTGAAAAATCAGTCATTATTTGCATAGGACATGTAACTTATTACTGGAATCTTGAATCTTTTTACTTTTCTTAAAAAATTAGTAAAATTTTCCCAAATTTGATTTTCTTGAAATATTTTGGCTCATATGGAGGCTAAAGCTTACAGCTTTGAACATGTTTTATGTTTCACCATGTATATACATGTATATAACAATGTAGCTTTTATTTAGTTTATGTAGATGATTCATCTATTCTAGATGTTGCTTTAGTACTTTGATTTATGAAATTGCAATTATTATAAGCTAGGCTGAACTTTCCTTTGTTTACCAGTCTTTAGTGGTTTATTTTATCAAATTTCATGCACAAGAGGTTTACCATTTATAATAATGGGCTGAAAGACTTAATCAGTGTTGATTAAAAATTCTGTTTGAAAGGGAAGTAAGTCTGCTTGTAACAGTATGCCCGCCACTTGAGAAATCTCCGGAACATGAGGCACCTTCGCTGAATGTAAAAAAGAATGAGAAAGAATGTAACAAAAGATCATGGTATTTACATGCCCTCATAAAATTACTTTCCGTTTATCCAATGAAATAGGCAAGGGAGATTAGAGATTATTTTTTTTAATGAGGATTGGAGAGTATTTAATTATCTTAATTGATACAGTATATGTAGGTCAAATCATTTTACCGTCTGCTTATTGACGTTTATTGCTTTGAACGGATAATAAGAGATTGTAATTAATTTCTGATTGATATAAGAGTATGTAGATCATCTAAACTTTCCGTCTGATACCCGAGTCTTTTACGTCTCTGAGCAATTTACTTGTATTCCCCGTAGGTCAGACAATTTTATATAAGTTCAGTGGCATAGCCGATCCTATTGGCAATGTATGTCGTAGCATGCATATTTTCCCCTAGAGAGAGAAGAAAATGAAAATTTATTTATTTGTCAACCTGCAATTTCTTACAATAATCCTGAACATAAATTATTATTGTACTAAATATGATTATGCCATATACAACAATATACACCTCCTAACCATTTTGTTGCTAGAATCTCAATCATACTAATACAGTATATATCATAATGAGTATATGATATATTATGATTTTCAAAGAATTACTGGAATGTACCATAGAAAATGGAATTTACTTTAATCTTTATATAGAATGTATAAAGGAAACAAACTTTTATGGAAATGAAAATTATCAAAGTTAAGATAAAACATATTTTTCCAGCCTCATAACAGAATGTGGTAAAATGTCCCCCCCATCTCACGTGGGATAAGTTGTTTGTCACTTGTATAGATAACAGTAATAGCTGGTTAGTTATTCAAAAAAATGTGTTGAAAATCAGTGTAACAACCAGACAAACAAACAAACACTACTGTCAGTTTGACTGCTAATATACCTGTCTTTTTGGGTTAAAAATTATCTAAAAATGTTTATTCAATGCAATATAAACTGCAAATTAAAAGGAACAATGTAATTTTGTGTTACAGGGGGGAGCCGATATGATGATTATTACGAGTCGGACCTGGAGAGGCCGCCAACAGGAATGTCATTCCAGTCTAACAGGTACTCCGAGTTATCACCAGATGTCTCAGATGATGAGTTTGAAAGTGTCTCGCAAGTTGTTGGTCCCGTAAGTAGATAAGATATTCAGTATAAGTTTAACTGATGATTTAGATAGAATTGATGTAATTTGATTGAATGATTTGCACAATTGTTTGGTTCAAAGTATAATAAGTAACTCGTAGTGTTCAATATGACACCAGATTTTCTGAATCCTTTTTAAGGACTGTACATAATGCAACTGCCGATGAATCCAGATGCAGTGAAAAAAAGGTTACAAAATGAATTTTTGATATTGTCATTTGAAAATACAAATAAGGATAATAAGATTTGCTCCATTAAATTTGTAATATACATGTAGGCTTTCCTAGCGTGTAATTCTGAACTGTCCATTGTTTTCAATATCAAAATGTAAAATTAACCATCCAGCAGTACAGTCAAATAGAGTTATAGTCAGATTCTATACTTGTAGCAAAAGCAAGTTGTTATGCTCGTATTTCAAGTAATATTTTGACTTCTAATTTTTAGAAAAAAGAAGTCAAACTATAGTATAATGATTGCTGCTTGCTTAGCAAAAACTTGAATAGCCCATTATTCAATTACATGTATTTGTAAAAGTATTAACATGAATACTTGGCATACTTCTTATCATGACAAGATGCAGTTGTTAAACAAGGGTCATAATTCTGAAGGTTATATTTTTTGGAGTTATGCCCCTTTTTTTGGATTAAAATTGTGTATTGAAAGTCAATGCCCTTTACAGATGAGTGTTAAAACCGCATGCGATGCTCTTGTTATAACAGATATAGTAAATAGAGTTAAAGCCCTTGTTTACTAAGCACTCAATATGTGGTGTTATTTTCAAAAACTTTATTCTTGTTACATAAAATCTCAAGTAACATACTGTAAAATCCTTTTTGTTTATTGGGTACTAATTTGCCTGGTTTTTGTGGGTAGGTCAATCAATGAATATCAGATCCTATCATCCAACAAATTTCTTTTTCGTTGGCTCTAAAATCATTACATTATTTGCATTTCTTTTTAACAAAATCAACAATCCATAAGTTAAAGAAGCCACAAAAATGTCTTATGTGACTAAACCACGAAATTGCATGCCCACGAAATCAAAAGAATTCACAGTATGTAATTAACATGTAATTTTAGACTTGTAACTTATTCAATAATACAAAGCTATTCTTGTTTTCATAATTATTATGAAAATGTTTGATAAATAGATTTTAATAGTATGTTCATGTATATAATTGTAGAGACAGCCAGTATGGAGTGTACCAGATTCAGATGGGGAGACATACAGGGTAGAACCTAGCAGGAAAGCTAGACAGTAAGTCTTTTCCTTACTTTCACATGAAAACTGAAGTCTGCCAGGGACTTGGGATTCTTTTATGTGAGGAAGCTATCCAGCTAGCTTACAGAAAGTGGGTGGTTCTACTCAGGTGCCCGCTTGAAATAATGCGAAGAGTGGTACCTGCTATGCTATTAAGCTATGCTTTGTAATTGACCTTTAAAGTGTGAGTGCAATGTACTTGATATGCTGGGTATGAGTGCAATGTACATGTTTTGAGTGTTATGGAAATGTACATGTTTTTTTCAGTGTCATGTACATGTTATGTTGATCTTGAGGGCAATCCTAATGATGTTTGGTGTGAGTGCAATATACATGAAGTATTATTCTTTTTCTCACATCAAACTTTGGTATACATTTTATTCATCATCTTTTTGGGTACTATTAAAATGTGGAATTCATCTGTTCTAATCCTTAGACAGGATTTTTTAGAATTTTTACAGAGAAGAATATTCAAAACTTTTTGTATTTCAGGACAAAGTTTAGTGCCACTGCACCTGTAAGATTTGGACGAGGGAAACCACGCATTTCTAGAAAATCTGTTGATACAGAAAATATGTTTCTAGATGGCAAGTTAAGACATGGACACCAGGCAAGAAAGGACTGAGGCCAGAAAAGGTTGGCTTAAGGTTACAATATTAAAGCTCTGAGGCAGCATGCTTTAGATAGATTTCATGCTTATTTTTATGAAAAATAAGATTTTTCAAAATGATATTTGCTTGTTTGATTAATAAAAAAACATATTTTGTGAACATTTGCTAAATGGTCCTTAACTCTGATAATATAAGGTAGATAAAATAGTGATGAAAATTTTTACTTCTGATATATTTTTTTTAGCTCACCTTGTCACAAAGTGAACAGGGTGAGCTTTTGTGAATCGCTTTTCGTCCCCTACGTTTTTCGCGTCTGTCCGTCCATCGCCGTAAACTTTTTTTTTTAAATGACATCTCCTCATAAAGCGCTGAGGCCCCAATTTCACCCAAACTTCACAGGAAAGTTCCTTTGGTTGTCAAACCTTTAAAATTGTTCAAAGAATTTAATTCCATGCAGAACTCTTCGTTGCAGTGGCAACCGATAGAAAAAAATTAAAATATCTCTTTTTAAAAAACCCAAAGAGGTAGAGCTTAGATATTTTGGCATGAAACATCTTTCTAGTGTGTGTCTATCAAGTTTGTTCAAATAAAAGCCCTGGGGTCAAAATTGGCCCTGCCCGGGGGTCATTGATTTTTCCCTATATGCATATAGTAAAAACTTAAAAAATTTTCTTTTAGAAAACGCCCCAAAGAGCTAGAGCTAAAGAATATTTTAGCATGAAACATCTTCTAATGAGTGTCTACCAAGTTTGTTCAATAAAAGCCCTGGGGTCAAAATTGGCCCCGCCCCAGGGGGTCATTGATTTTCCCTATATGCATATAGTAAAAAAACTTATAAAATCTTCTTTTAAAGAACCCAAAGAGCTAGAGCTTAGATATTTAGCAAGAAACATTTTCTAATGAGTGTCTATCAACTTTGTTCAAATAAAAGCCCTGGGGTCAAAATTGGCCCCGCCCCAGGGGGTCATTGATTTTCCCTATATGCATATTGTAAAAACTTAAAAAAAACTTCTTTTACAGAGAGCTAGAGCTAAGATACTTAGCATGAAAGATGTTCTAATGGGTGTCTACCAAATTTGTTCAAATAAGAGCCCTGGTGTTAAAATTGGCCCTGTACCGGGGGTCATCGATTTTCCTTAAATGTGTATTGCAAAAACTTTTTAAAAAATTTTCTTTGAAAAAACCCAAATAGCTAGAGTTTAGATATTAAGCATGAAACATCTTCCAATTAGTTTCTTCAAAGTTTGTTCAAATAAAAGCTCTAGGGTCAAAATTGGCCCTGCCCCGGGGGACATTAATTTTCCTTATATATGTGTATAGCAAAAACTTAAAATTCTTCTTTGAATAAAAAAAAATAGCTAGAGTTTTAGATATTAAGCATGAAACATCTTTAGTGAGTGTCTTCAAAGTTTGTTCAAATAAAAGCCCTGGGGGTCAAAACTGGCCCCGCCCTAGGGATGTCATTGCTTTTAACTATATGTGTATAGGTAAAAACTTAAAAAATCTTTTTTTTTTTTAAACTCAACGAGCTAGACCTAAGATTTTAGCATGAAACGTCTTCTAATGGTGTCTACCAATTTTGTTCAAATAAAAGCCCTAGGGTTAAACTGGCCCCGCTCTGTGGGCCTATATACAGGTGAGCGACTTCAGGGCCATCATGGCCCTCTTGTTATAAAAACAAGCATCTAAAAGCAGCATATAGATTGTAATTTCCCATGAAAAGTGATGTTGAAAACATGCAGTATTTTAAAGTTATACATACAGTACACTGCTGCTGTCTCTTTATGAAGAAATCACCTTTTTGTTCTTAAAAAGTTAGCTGTATCATGAAATCGTTACGTAGATTCCTGACAAGATATATCACGCAGACTGATCAGGATCCATGCTGTTGGCTTACGAACCATATAACAAGACGAAAAATTGATAGCGAACAGCATGGATCCTGATCAGACTGCGCGGATGCGCAGGCTGGTCTGGATCCATGCTGGTCGCAAACCCATTATGTTGGTTTTGTCATGACGTGGCTCCTCATTTATAGGTTTTGTGGCAGTAGGGGACCTTGTGAAGTTTCAGGATTTCCTTCTTGTGAAAGGGAAACAATAAAATAAGGGAACATTTACTGTCACGATTTTATTACCTCCCTTGAATTAAATTTTACTCAAGTACGGTAATGGGCAACTGGCTGAATGTTTCTCACTTTCAAATGCTGTAATCTGTAGCAAGGAGAGCCTTAAAATTTAAGATTCAAGTTAAGTTTGCTTGTACCTAGTAGCAAAAAATTGGAAGTCAGCCTTCTTTAACCTCCCTCTGTCTTTGTATTCATAAACTTCTGTATATACTAAGTATTTAGAGATTGAATTAAGCATATATTTCAAATCTTGGGTTAACTAAATAGGTAGAGCAATGGACTATGAATCTTGCGATCAGGGTTCGAATCCTGTATGGTACAGGTCGCTTTCGTTGTGATTGATCAATGCAAATCATTTCTACAGTCATTCCCACTGTACCTCTTGCTCTGGTATGTACACAATGTTTCTCAGTTCCTTGCAAAAGTGAATGCAATTAGTACTGATAAACTGCTTGACAGCCTGCTCAGGAATAATGCAATGGCTAGACTGTGCTCTGGTAAAATTCAATATGACTTGCTGCCTTGATCCGGAGTGAAAACTACCAACATCGCCATATTAAGAGATTGGAATGAATATGTATTCTTGTTGCTTGCAGCCTCGTTCTGGTTCACCAGTAATAGCCCAAGATACTGTGAGAGATTCAATGAGGTCATTACGATCTCAAGATGGTGGTGGCTGGAATATTCCCGATGATACTGAAGTCTCTTTGGTAACTGACTGGTCAGAATGTAAGTAACAGAAATGAAATTTTAGGTCTTAGGATGTTTACTTTCAACATTTTTCAATTAAGTTTTTGTATTATGGTTTGTAGACCTTTCTATTGTAAATGTTTCAAGAAGTTAAATCATATAACCATAAATGCACATTGAGTTAACTGGAGTGAAAGTATTATATAGTTACATGCACTAGAGTTACTGCACTGTCTGTCAGTTGTGGACTATTGATTGGCTACATTTTTTTCTAGGGTTTTCTTATTGTGAAAACAGGGAAAGGAATAATGATAAAAAGTCGTATTCAGATGCTTGGTCATTGGTTACTATTTTCTAGGGTTTCATATTGTGATAACAGGGAATATGTTTTATTTTTGCCTATGTTACAAAAGAGAAAGAACATCAAAACACTCAGCAATCTGATTTATACTTGTGGGCTTTGCCCCCTCCTTCAAATCAGTTAGCCTCATGTTTTGATGCTCTTTCTGTTACTTAACTTCATCTATTTTGTTTTACTTCAAATTGAACAGATGTTATCATAGGTTTCAGCTATAATATATAAAATCCACACCATTAGTAATCAAGTTATCAATCATTAAAATAATAATCAAATAGTTAATCATATAGGAAAAAAAAACAGTAATAAATCATGTTTCTAGGTTTAGAATTTTAGAACTGTTGCCACCCTACAGATGACTTGGGGTCAAACATGGCTGGTCCCAACGTGATCCTGTAAAATTATGTCTCTTTCAAGCAATTAATCTGAGCCCATTATAACCCTTTCCTATTTGTAGAAATGTGTCCTTTATTATGAAAAGTATGTATATAAAGCTTGATCTATTGAAATAATATTTTGAATCATGCATAAAATTTATGCGTTGGAGTCTATTGCTCCACTCAATTGCACATGTCTTTTAGAAAATTTATCTGGATTTATTCTATTGTATCTCTGTTGATATTTTCAGCAAAGACTACTGGTAGGGCTTCACCTGGACCTCCAAAAGGTAGGATTCCTTTTTTCTCTTGGAGATGGGGGTGGGGCATCAAAAGCCCCCTCCCTATTTTCAGCCTTGACATTTAAATTACCATTATAATACATTTTAATGGCATAAAGTTATATTTTAAGAATTTTCTTACAATAACATAATAACAATAAAAAATTTATTTGAAGAAGTGGTATAACAATTTCTAGAAGTTTGATTTACAATAAAATTGACATGAATTATTACTGTTATCAAAATAAGACAATGTATTTTATATATTGAAGCTAAATTGTTCATATTTTTTATGACCAGAATTTACTTAATTCTTTTTTAATTTTATATTTTCAGCGTATTGAGAAAACACACAAAGATAGAATCTACCTTCTTCAACATGCCGTCCATTATTTATTACTCTATTATACATATCAATAGTGACTTACGCAGCCATTTTGAGTAGTTGTGCATAATTTCTTTTGTATCGATGTTTGATAGGTGATATACATGTATAAGCTTGTGTTCAGAATGACAAATTAAAGAACTTTACACACTGTGTACAGAACATAATATATTGTAATAATGGCCAAATTATTTCCAAAAATTGTAAAATTTGTAAAATATATTGTAATGTTCTGATGATCCATAATTATTGTTAATTTTTTTAAATATTTTAAACAAATATATAAATTTTATACATAGATACTAAAATTATAAATAAAGAATATTAAATTTTTGACTAAACATTTAATATAATCATGGCTTTTGTTAAAAGCTAATAGGTTTCTTCTATATTAAGAACCAAAGAACAAATCAATGGTCAAAAAAATGCAGGTAATTTATGTAGCTTATTTATGAATTTTCTGTCGTTTTAGAATACAATTTTTTTCCATTATTTAATAACATGCTTAAGTAGTTATAACTTTATTATGCCCCCATTTTGAAAAAAAGGGGGTATATTGCTTTGCACTTGTCGGTCCGTCGGTCCGTCGGTCCGTAGACCAAATGGTTTCCGAGTGATAACTAAAGAACCCTTAGGCCTAGGAACTTCAAACTTGGTATGGTGATTGGTCATGACCAGTAGATGACCCCTATTGATTTTGGGGTCAAGGGGTCAAAGGTCAAGGTCACATTGACCTTGAAAGCAAAAAACGGTTTCCGATCAATAACTAAAGAACCTTAAGGCCTAGGAACTTCAAACTTGGTATGGTGATTGGTCATGACCAGTAGATGACCCTATTGATTTTGGGGTCAAGGGGTCAAAGGTCAAGGTCACATTGACCTTGAAAGCAAAAACGGTTTCCGATCAATAACTAAAGAACCTTAAGGCCTAGGAACTTCAAACTTGGTATGGTGATTGGTCATGACCAGTAGATGACCCCTATTGATTTTGGAGTCAAGGGGTCAAAGGTCAAGGTCACATTGACCTTGAAAGCAAAAACAGTTTCCGATCAATAACTAAAGAACCTTAAGGCCTAGGAACTTCAAACTTGGTATGGTGATTGGTCATGACCAGTAGATGACCCTATTGATTTTGGGGTCAAGGGTCAAAGGTCAAGGTCACATTGACCTTAAAAGCAAAAACGGTTTCCGATCAATAACTAAAGAACCTTAAGGCCTAGGAACTTCAAACTTGGTATGGTGATTGGTCATGATCAGTAGATGACCCCTATTGATTTTGGGGTCAAGGGGTCAAAGGTCAAGGTCACATTGACCTTGTAGGTAAAAAACGGTTTCCGATCAAAACTAAAGAACCTTAAGGCCTAGGAACTTCAAACTTGGTATGGTGATTGGTCATGATCAGTAGATGACCCGTATAGATTTTGGGGTCAAGGGTCAAAGGTCAAGGTCACATTGACCTTTTAATTAAAAACGGTTTCTGATCAATTACAAAAGAACCCTTAGGCCTAGGAACTTCAAAACTTGGTATGGTGATTGGTTATGACCAATCAGATGACCCCTATTGATTTTGGCGTTAAGGGGTCAAAGGTCAAGGTCACATTGACCTTGTAGGTAAAAACGGTTTCCGATCAATAATGAAAGAACCCTTAGGCCTAGGGACTTCAAACTTGAGATGGTGATTGGTCATGATCAGTAGATGACCCCTATTGATTTTGGGGTCTAGGGGTCAAAGGTCAAGGTCACATTGACCTTGTAGGTAAAATGCTTTCGGATCAATAACTTTAGAACCCTTATGCCTAGGAACTTCAAACTTGGTATGGTGATTGGTCATGACCAGCAGATGACCTATTGATTTTGGGGTCAAGGGGTCAAAGGTCAAGGTCACATTGACCTTGTAGGTAAAAACGGTTTCCGATCAATTAACTAAAAACGCTTAGGCCTAGGAACTTCAAACTTTGTGTGATGATTGGTCATGACCAGCAGATGACCCCTATTGAGTTTTAGGTGAAGAGGTCAAAGGTCAAGGTCACATTGACCTTTTAAATAAAAACGGTTTTCTGATCAATAACTCAAGAACGCTTAGGCCTAGGAACTTCAAACTTGGTATGGTGATTTGTCATGACCAGCAGATTACTCCTATGATTTTGGGATCAAGGGGTCAAAGGTCAAGGTCACAATGACCTTGTAAGTAAAAACGGTTTCTGATCAATAACTAAAGAACGCTTCGGCCTAGAAACTTCAAACTTGGTATGGTGATTTGTCATGACCAGCAGATTACTCCTATTGATTTTGGGATCAAGGGGTCAAAGGTCAAGGTCACAATGACCTTGTAAGTAAAAACGGTTTCAGATCAATACCTAAAGAACGCTTCGGCCTAGAAACTTCAAACTTGGCATGGTGATTGGTCATGACCAGCAGATGACCCCTATTGATTTTGGGGTCAAAGGTCAAGGTCACATTGACCTTGTATGTTAAAACGGTTTCCGATCAATAATAAGAGAACCCTTAGGCCTAAGAACTTCAAACTTGGCATGGTGATTGGTCATGACCAGCAGATGACCCCTATTGATTTTGGGGTCAAGGGGTCAAAGGTCAAGGTCACATTGACCTTGTAGGTAAAAACGGTTTCTGATCAATTTACTAAAAACGCCTAGGCCTAGGAACTTCAAACTTTGTATGATGATTTGGTCCGTCGGTCCGTAGACCAAATGGTTTCCGAGTGATAACTAAAGAACCCTTAGGCCTAGGAACTTCAAACTTGGCATGGTGATTGGTCATGACCAGCAGATGACCCCTATTGATTTTGGGGTCAAAGGTCAAGGTCACATTGACCTTTTAAGTAAAAACGGTTTCTGATCAATAACTCAAGAACGCTTAGGCCTAGGAACTTCAAACTTGGTATGGTGATTTGTCATGACCAGCAGATTACTCCTATTGATTTTGGGATCAAGGGGTCAAAGGTCAAGGTCACAATGACCTTGTAAGTAAAAACGGTTTCAGATCAATACCTAAAGAACGCTTCGGCCTAGAAACTTCAAACTTGGCATGGTGATTGGTCATGACCAGCAGATGACCCTATTGATTTTGGGTCAAAGGTCAAGGTCACATTGACCTTGTATGTTAAAACGGTTTCCGATCAATAATAAGAGAACCCTTAGGCCTAAGAACTTCAAACTTGGCATGGTGATTGGTCATGACCAGCAGATGACCCCTATTGATTTTGGGGTCAAGGGGTCAAAGGTCAAGGTCACATTGACCTTGTAGGTAAAAACGGTTTCTGATCAATTTACTAAAAACGCCTAGGCCTAGGAACTTCAAACTTTGTATGATGATTGGTCGTGACCAGCAGATGACCCCTATTGAGTTTTGGGTCAAGGGGTCAAAGGTCAAGGTCATGACCAGTAGATACTTTATAACCCTTATTAATTGTTTGATCACTGGGTCAGACGTCATGCATAATAACCTTATCACATGACTAATTGGCTGCTGATAGGGGGCATACATGTTTTACAAACATATCTTGTTTTATGTAATGTTTCATAAAAGCATAATTTATATGGCTATGTTTTGTGGAAATGCCACAAAGTTATAGAAATAAATGTAAAATATTGTTAACATTATAGTTTCTTTATTGAACCAATTCTCCATGCATTGAGTATGAAAGAATTCTCAACAGATCAAGGGCCTATTTATCCCAGAATTGCTTTAATTTCTATTTCGCAAAGGCTTTAAATTTTTATCTCCTGTTTCAGTTTCTCAAATATATACTCGATCATTGGCCAATTACCTGAACTTTCTTTTGCTTCTGTTGTTTTTAGCTCACCTGAGCCGTTTTTCTGTTGTTCTTCGTCTGTTATTGTTCAAAATTTCATAAACAACATGTCCTCCTATACCACTTATTGGATTTTGACCAAACTTTACCGGAATTATCCTTAGGTGGTCATTTACAAAAGTTTTATAAATGGTTCCAGTCTGATGCATAAATAGGTCACAGGAGCTTAAAATAGACTTTAAAAATGAGGACTTTAAAAAGTCTTCTTCTCAGAAACTACAATGTCTAGAGCTTAGATATTTGGCAGGTAGCCTCACCTTGTGGTCGTGAAAATTTTTTTTTATTAATCATGTCCCTAGGGTCAATGTCACAGGGATCACAATTTATATAGACATGTATAGTAAAAATAAGTTTAAAAGACCTCCTCAAATCTACAATTCCTACCAAAGCTTAGATATTTGGTTTGTAGCATCACTTTGTTGTCTTCGGAAAAAAACGTTATGAATCATGCCCTAGGGGTCAAATTGGTTATTTGAACTTGTTTAGGAAAATGCATTTGTCCTTTTTTTGTGTAAATGCAATGCAAAGAGATTAGATATTTAGCATGTAGCATTGCCTAGTAGACTACAAAGTATAACCAAATCATATCCCTGTGGTTAAAATGGCCCACCCTTTAGGTTACTTATTTACATAGACTTGTATTTAAAATGTCTCGAAAATCTTTGAAATAACAATACCCAAAACTTGTATATGTTGCGTTTATCAAGACCTTGCAGTCTTGCACAAGAGTTATGTAAGTCATGCTCCAGAGGTCAAAATTAGTCCTGCCCTGGGTGTCACTTAGTTAATTTTAACTTGTAAAGGAAAATACATCCTTCTTTACTAAAACTTCAATACCAAGACCTTGGATGTTTAGCATTGCGTAGTAGACGTCTACAATTGAAAAGTTATAAAAATCATGCCCCTTGGTTCAAAAATGGCCGTGCCCTGGGGATCACTTCTTTTACATAGACAGGTAGTAAAACGTTCTAAAAAAAACTTCTTTGAAATTGCAATGCCCAGAGCTTAGATAAATTTCCTTGTAACATCATATTTATTGTCTTCCACAAAACTTATTTAAATTATGTCCCTGTAGTCAAAATGGGCCCCTCCCCTGGGTCACTTAGTTTATATAGACTTGCATAGGAAAATATATTTAAGTCTTCTTTTGTTAAACTAAGATGGCAAGAGCAAAGAAAAATGGCATGTTACATTACCTACTTGACCTTCACAAACGTTATAAAAGTCATGCCTTGGTGGCTCCATCCTGGCGGTCTCCTATTTTACATAGAATTGTGTCTATAAACTTTCAGAAAATTTAAGTTTCAATTTTATGCAAATTTTGTTCGGGTATAACGAAGCATAAACTACTATAAACTCAAGTCTATATAAAGGCATGCTTATCACTATCAAAAACCCATAATACATTTGTGTATTGTCACTTCGTAAATCTTGGTGGCGCGACCAATTAATACTAGCAATTAACACAATAATTAAGAAACTCTTAAGCAGTTTTAATATACACTTTATAAAGCGCAAACATTTCTTAGTGTCACATGGACTGGATGGGTTTTATTAAGATGTAAATTGCATAAGTAGCTTTATTCAAGAAAGGTTACTCGGTTCTTGGAATGTTAAGTAAAACCTGATTTATTTCCCTTAGAATACCGAATATTCAGATTTTCACATAACATTGCTTTAGGTATTGAA